TACCCTGCCTTCTAACTGGCTTCAGACTAACACAGCTAACTATCTCTCTTTTCCCTCAAAAACCACTTTAGTTCATTTGATTTGCCTGAAATGTATCCTGCTTGGCAGGATTCCAGGCTGATTTAAGACAGAGGGATCACTTGGTGTTGGGACGCTAAAGGCCTGGTTCTGGTGCTCCAGAGTCCATAAGGAGTCTGCATCTTTAAGGCTGTCTCTAGAAGATTACGATTGGTTCATGGTCCCCAATGCCAGCCCCATCCTCCTGATTGCCCACACACTAAACTTGAGACACTGGAATGCCTAATCTGTTTCCTTTCATCAAGATCCTTGGCAGGCTGCCACCATGCATGCACTGAGAGCACTGCTTGAGCAGATGAAGTCACATGAGCAGAGGTCCTGGGAGAGAACCCGTTTTTTCCACAGCACTCTACGCACACTTGTCACCAAACTCTGGAGCCAACAGCACTCAAGATTCCCTGGAAGCAGAACTCAGAAACTCCAACAATTTGGAAATGTGAATCCACTGGCTTTTCCACCTCATAGTGGCCCTCAAAGTTGAGGAGAACAACAGTATATGGAATAAGATGCAACCATAGGCAGAGGAAGAAAAAAATTGGAGGGAGAGTGGGGCTGAGTGTATGCAAGCGTGTGTACCCCCCCACAAAAGTTTGTGAGAGAAGAGGCGGGGGGGGCAGGAAGCGAGGCTGGGGCTGGACAGGGATCAGGGCCAGCCCCAGTCACAACAGGTAATGGACTATATTAGGGGCCCAATCCTATAGAGTTCCCAGAGGCTCAAGCAAGGCTAGCCTTGGCTGCGCTGCGGGGTCAGAGGGCACGGACCCCCCAAGACACCCACACCTGCCCCGGGAAGAGTCCAGTGACTCCTCCAGAGCCACAGCACCAGGCCCCCAATCTTTGCGCAGGGCGAGGGCAGGCTACAGCTGTGCTCTGCCTGCTCCCCACCTCTGCACCTCGCTGCAGCCTTTGAAAGTGGGACAGCACCATGTGCTTCCCACTCCTGTGCAGGCAGGCAGCAAGGCACGTGGTGCCACTTTCAAAGGCTACAGTGAGATACGGAGGCAGGAAGCAGGCAGAGCACAGCTGCAGCCCGCCCTTGGCCCCGTGCAAAGATAAGGGGACATGGCTGCCCCCACTCCCAACCTTAGCTATCCTGTGCCATGGCTCTGGAGGAGCCGCCAGGCTCCAGTTGTTCCACAACCCAGCCAGGACCCCATTCACCGTGAATGGGGATCCAGCTGGGCAAGTCGTAGGGCAATCAGAGCCAAGCAGTTCATCCAGGGGCACAGCACGGGGGAACCCTGCAGTGAGTGCAGTGGCAGAAGTCACCCTCCCACACCCCTGGAGAAGCCGCCGGGCTCCCATTGCCCCACAGCCCAGCCCAGCTGCGGCCCCATTCCCCATGAATGGGGCCCCAGCTGGGCCAGGTCCTGGGGCAATCCCCACAGTGCAGCAGAGAGCAGGGCAGGGATGAATGATTTGCCCCTGCCCCTACTCCACTCCCTCCTACACTGTGGGGGTCTCAAGCCCAGGCAGTCAAAAGAAACTTACGGGCATGCTGTGTTGGGCCAACTGCAATCCTAGCATGCCTCTCCCCCCTGCTCCAGCAGCCCACGGCTGGGCTGCCCTGGCATTTTGGGCTGCCCTGGCATTAGCCCCCCCCCTTACGCCACCTATGGATGCAACCTGCTATGCTGTGGGGGCCACTCTAGCTGGTGCAGTACTGCTACTGGTCCAGGCAGATGAGCAGTAACTGGTGGGAGCACACTGTCCTGGCCACCTAGAATGACAAACAGTGGCAGATGAACTTCTGTATGAGCCGGGCAATCTTTATGGAGATTTGCATTGAGTTGACCCCCAGCCTACAGTAGTAAAATACCAGGATATGGGAGCCCCTTGACCATGGAGAAGCACATTGCCATCGCTGTGTGGAAGTTCGCTACCCCTGACACTGTGGGGAACTACTTCAGCATTCAGAAATTTACAGTGGGGGAAAATACAGTTCAGAAGGTGGGCTTGGCATTCAAAAATGTACTAGGACTACAATTCATCCACCTTGCCAACCCACAGGAGGCTGTAAGGACTTTCCCAACCCTATTACCTTTTTTGGCACCCAAATCACTATCCTATCCATGGACACCAAGCCAGTGACTAAACCAACTGCAAGGGTGTCTTCTCTGTGGTGCTGCAGGTAACCATAGACCTCCAGGAGAGTTTCATACACATGAATGCTGCAGGGGCAGGGTGGGAATGAGCAAGGGTCATGATTCCAGGATACTCTACAACTCTGGACTCCCAGAGAGTGGGGAGTTTGCCCCTGAGATTTCCAGTCCCTGAGATTCCAAGCATTGAGGTGAGGAGTGACCACCCCCACTGCTAACTGAGGACCCAACAGACCTGCTTCACCCCAGGCTCATGAAGTCTTACACCTACTTCTTTACCTACCTTCTCAGCAGCTGCTGCATAGGTGTGGAGTGTGTCTGTGTGTGCCTCAGGGACCACTGGCAACATTAGGAGTCCACTTGGATGTAACCCAGTGCTGTCACCTCTACCTGCATCCTTCATAACATTTATGAAACCAAAGGAAAAATTTTCCATGAAGCCTGGGCTGAGGATGCATGGGAGCTGGCACATCACCAGGCTGCTACAGCTCTAGAGCACCCAGGGAATCAGGAAATGCTCACATACCCTGGTGCTAGAAGCCTTAGCTATTCCAATCCCAGAGACTTCAGACCCATGAAGGGAATGACTAGGGATTGGTAACCTGGGGCTGGGTATATCTGCAATTTTCTGCTTCCTCTTTTCACCTACACAGGAGTTCCACGAAGACCAGTTGCTTGCGGATTACTGAGCCCTGTGTGGTGGTACCAAAACTGGGGACAACCAGTTGTGGAGTGGGTCCCAAAGTAGCTGCCACCCAGGATACAGAAGCAGGGGTCCAGACGGGCCACCAATACATGGTGACACCTCCACCCCAAATAAGCCTGCCAAGTGGGGTTCTGGCAGGCAACTGAAATGAACTAAGTGGCTTTCCAGGGAAAGTCTTCTTAAAGCAAGCCCTTGGGGTGCCCCCACAGCACCCAGTTCCCCAGGATCAAGAAGCAGGGATTCAGATAATCCCCCAGCACCTTATGACCCCTCCACCCTCACCCCCAATGAACCTGGAACCCGCTAAGGGGGGTCTACTGCAAGCCAATTAAATAAGCAGCTTTCCCAGTAGAAGCCTAAAGCTGATTTTGCCCAACCTAAGGGGCACCCCTGGAGTAAGGGTGCATGCTGTAGCCAGCTCAAGCAATGAATGTTTGGGCAGTACAGTTCTTTGCCCTGCAGGGGTTAGGCTAGGGTTGAGAAGCAGTGCAGAGTGGGATGCCTGGAGGACTAAACAGACACCAGTTATGGAAAGCTCACACTTCCCATAATGTCATAGTTTCATAGTTTCTAGGGTCGAAAGGGACCTGAGCAGATCATCTAGTCCGACCCCCTGCCATGGCAGGAAAGAGTACTGGGGTCAAACGACCCCAGTAAGGTGGTCATCCAACCTCCTCTTAAAAACCCCCAGGGTGGGAGCCTGCACCACCTCACTTGGAAGCTGGTTCCAGAC